TTCTAGATCAATGAGTTGATATGCTCCTCCTTGGTACACATTTTCGATGACAAAAGGGCCTTCCCAATTTGGTTCAAATTTACCACAAATTCTTCGGTGTGGGATAATTGGTCTTCTCAGCACCATGACCAATTCTCCTTCTTGAAATGCTCGAGGGCATACCATACGGTCAAAAGATTTCACCATCCTTGCTCGATAAATCTCTAAATTTTGTTGAGCATGAAGTCGGACTTCATCCAACGCATCAAGCTCTTCCATTCGTAGGCGAGCATTTTGTTCTTCTGTGAGATCATACTGAACAGCTACCCAAAGTGACGACAACTCAACTTCAAGTGGCAACACAGCTTCAGCTCCAAACACCAATGCATAAGGAGTTGCTTTCGTTGGTGTTTTGTATGTAGTACGATATGCCCATAATGCTTCTGCCATCTTAGTATGCCATTCCCTTTTATTCTTAGTAAGAATTTCTTGAGCAGCTTTACGAGCGTTTTGTTGAAGGCTTTTGCTAATCCATTTGCCCTTGGATTATAAATCGATGAATATCGCCGATCAATTTTATGCTGCTCAATAAATTTGTAAATTTTGGTACTTTTGAAAGCTGAATTGTTGTCTGAGATTATACGGCGTGGAACATCAAATCTGTAGACAATATTATGAGTAAAGAAGTTGATCACATGATGAGTAGTGACTTCTTTGAATGGAACTGCTTCAGCCCATTTAGAAAAATAGTCTGTTGCCGCTAATATAAAGCGATGTCCAGCAGATGATGGTGGATCAATGGGCCCTATTACATCTGTCCCCCAACATTCAAATTGTCAGGATGCTATATATAGTAGGATATAAAGGATTTGGAGGTTGATGCATAATATCGCCATGAATTTGACATTCGTGACATATACCTGCATGTTTGGTACAGTCCTTTATCATTGATGGCCAGTAATAATCCATCATTTTAACTTTAATGGTCATTTTAGGATCTGATTGATGTGCACCGCATAGTCCTTCATGAACTTCAGAAATAATTTTATCAGCTTCATCTTTCCCTAAACATCGTAGCCACATTTGTTTAAATGACATTCGATATAGCGTATTATTGACAAACGCATATCGCAATGCTCTCTTCTTGATCTGTGTTGCTAATGATTTATTACTTTTAAACAGTTAAAATTCATTTTATATTAAAGATGGTGCGTAAAGCAGCAAAACCATCAACACAAGACGGAAGGAAAACAATGAGTAAGTATAAATTTTTTATTTTTATTTATTTTTAATGAGTAAGTATAAATATGATAGATCAATAGAAAATGTGGTAATTAATCAACATTAAAGTGGTAAAACAACTATGATTGGGGACTTGTATAACAAAAGCAAATGGTCAAATAGTTTTGCTCAACCAATATAAGGTTAAAGGCAAATATGAATGAGTGGATGTGGGCTCCGAAAATTAGAGCCCCGGCCTCTCGCTGCTGCTCGGTTGCTTTTTCTGCTGTCAGAGGGAGTTTGAACGGATTAAGTTCCGGGGAAAATTTTAGACACTACCCAAAGATTTCACCCTCATTTTGTGAGGACTTTATGATTTGAGTTATGGTTTCCTATAGGTGCAAGCTCCTATATTTAATTATCCCTCCCGATCATGAGAGAGAACTTTCGATTAAGACTAGTCGTCGAATGAATACATCATATCAGTATATATGTAGTATCCAACGTATATTAAGAAAATGGGCTTTGGTTTGGAAGTTTGGAAATTTGGGTTGAGATATTTGAGAAGTTTGATATTTAAAATTAAAATTTTCACCATCTTAAACTTAAAGTGGATGGTGGGGGGTGGGGGGGGGGGGGGGGAGTGATGATGAGCCCGATCAAGATATCATGATTTTGTTGTCCTGGGCCAACGTAGTCCCTGGTCTACTTAGTCAAAGGAGGTAGAATCGAGAAAGATCCTTGTCAGCAGCTATGGGTTGCATCGTTCAAGGGTACCTTGTAGACCAGGGGTGGATGTTTGTCTAAGGGGCCATCATAGTCCCTGGTCTACTTAGTCAGAGGAATTTGTGCCCTATTGATTATATCATATTGATTCATTGCTCAACGATTTAACGTCAATGGGGAGCATACGAGCGCTGAACATGACTGTAATATAATGGTTCCATTTGGCGGCGAACCACCCGGTTCAAAGGGTCTCGGTCATATTCGTTTACTTGCGGTGCCACTTGATGGAGAAACCGTAGGTGTGGTGTCATTTGACGGAGAAACCATCGGTTGGAGGACACGTGCCACGTCCTTACTAACAATAGACAGATTGAGAATGAATCCTAGTGGTATTCTTGATTAGACATTAGCTCTTTGTGGGTTGGAGTAGTTTTAATATTTGTCCACCTCGGCAAACCTTTGCGGAGGGTGGATGGACATTTAAGCTTTAAGTGGTTGATAGTTAGTTTTAATTTTAAATATCTTGGATTTTGGTATTTTCAAAATTTTGAATTTTATGTGCGTTTGAGAGTATTTTGATTGTTTAATCCCCTCTGATTGAGATTTACATTCAACACGCCATCATCGGGGAATTTATAAACATTTTCTTTTATTGATTTTCGACTCCGTCTACTCACTGACAGAGGGTCGGGTTCGAATCTACATTCATTTCTTAACCCTCGTGGCATTCTCAGGCGTCATGTGTGTACCTACAACACACTCGTTAGGGCCTACGTGGGTATATGTCGTTGGATGCATTTCACACGATTCATTCGTATGTATGCATGATGTAATTTTTGAAATATAATTGAAGTGTCATATGACATACTAAAGTGAAACCCTCTACTTATTTTAAATGCATGCGGAGGTATTTCTTGAAATGTAATAGCAATGCCGGGAAGTTATCTTGAAATGAAGTAACAATGTCGAGTGATATGCTCGTATAATGCATTCTGTAAATTATGAGACATGCATATACAACATATTATCATGCAAGTGCAATACATGTGTGAGGGGCATTTTAGAATATTTGCATGGAATGCTAAGGGTGTCCGACTGCATTGGTGATTGTCGCTTTCAAGTGTGCAGGGGCTTTATTTCGGGCCTTATTGACACCTTCTGCCTGCATGTATGAGCGTTGCAAATCCGGTGGCAATTCTCATATAATAGTTATGCAATGCACCAAGTTCATGAATATGTAAATCACCCAAATTGAATTACCAAAAGGCCACTTCAAAAGAATTGGACTATAATAACTTGATCAGCATAAGGAAAAGAGTTTGGTGGTGACAACCTCATCTTCGTTGATGGGCTCATCTCACTATGAGTGGAAAGTTGGTGGCCTCCGATTTACTAGCATGCACTTCTTATTGTGCAATGCATTCTAGTATTTTTAAGCTTCTCAAAGTTATTGCACCTATGATACTCCAACATTTCATGAGTTGTTCATCCCAAAATACTCCTCTTGGGAGAGGATTTAGATCTATGAAAGATGGCATATCATCGTCATTGATTTCCAAGAATTGTCCAAAAGATGAAACATCCAAGAATTATTCTTGTCAATATGACTGTAGAAATAACAATCAAACACATCAATAAGCTTGTGCTTCCAACTCCTATGATGTTAATAAATTTAGATGGTTGGACAGGGACACCATTGGTGTTAACCACCACTGGAACCAATATTGGGCATCACCGATCATCGGGATCAACCTGAGTTAGGATATGCTGATTAAGTCAACCCAGGGGCAGTATACACCAATCGTAACTTGATAATTGAAGGAAGCAATCTCCATTGTTTGTTGATAAAAAATATGAAGAATATTCTTAATAACTAAACTACCCCATAAAGTCTATAAATAGAAGTTATTTTTAATTTATTTAGTAAGCTTTCCTCCATAAGAAAAATAAGTCTAGAGAAATTTCTCATCTCTAACAATGCTTATGATTGAAGACCATCTAATTCACCATAATATATTCATTGAAATTGTCATGTACAACAACAATGATCATGCCCACCACTACCATTTCAAGATTTGACAACATTCATCATCCACTCACAACCATCCTACACTTGTGATAGTCGTGTCAAATGTGTCACATATGAAGAATTTGAAATCTTCACCTTTCATCTGAATACCAGATGATGCTCAAGACCATAGCAAGCAAGATTATTTATTTTACCAAAAGCTACCGGAAGCACTATTGTTCATGTTATTCAAACAAGAAAACTAACCCTATCATTGCACATTCTTGTTAAGTTCATAATCGATACGCATGAGCCAAACTTGAGCCCTCAACATCATTATTTTTTTGAACTTTCGAAGAGCCTTAAGCCCCTCTGATTGATCAAAGGTGGACTACTCTTGTTCTCATTTCTACCAAATAATGGATCTTCACAAACGGGCTAGTTTTTCGCCCAAGAGATTTCTACATTAAAAAAATGCTCCTCTCTTTTGTCATGTATGTGCGAGAAACTCTTAAGCAATGTCGAAAATTATCATCAAATTCTATAAATTCCTAGCATCCTTCTGGCATGTAAAAGTACTCATGCAAATTGGAAATCAATGCCTTGGGTTAGCACACATAGAACCCAAATACTATTTTAAAATAACCCATTCAAGGAAGAACTATTCATATATCATGAATGTGAACTCAGACTGAAATGAATACTTGCATGGGATGTCTGTAATCTCTTTCCTGATGTTTGATCTGGATAAAGGCAACAGTAGTCAGCAAAGGATGCAATTTGGGCCTTATCCTCTGGCTGTAATCAGAACATTGGAGCAAATAAGGTAGAAAGAAGATGTAATCGTTTCAGGGTTGCCATTCTTAACTCCTTAACAGAAAATGTCAAATTTTCAAGTAAGAACCAAAGACTCGTTTAATGCTCACTAGGTTTTCTATCTGAAACACTAATTAGAGAAAGCAAAAGCATAAAGAAACCAGTAAACTCAACCAATAACCAGCAGCAGAATAATTCGACAAAGTCTGGTGTAAAATGCTGTATCAGAAAGTTCAGAAGTTCAACTCACATTGATTGTGCTGAGATACTTTTCCTTGTCAACCCTAACAATTTGGCCTTTCTGCACTGAAAAGTTCAATTGCCAATTAATTAACTAATTTTCTAATACGGTAGGTATGCAGACAATACTCGTTCGGAAAACAAGCCAATTCCAATGTATTAAGCTTATATCTTTTAAGGTAAAAGGAAACGAAATTTGGATTAGGTTTTGTGATGACAATGATACAGAGAAAAAGACGAATCGTACTCGAGTACTGGGGTTTTTTAGGACGGACAGCAGGCTTGGAGGAAGTCTTCAGTTAAGTTGAGTCCTGGGCGTTGGAAACTTTCTCCTTATCGGGTTCGGAGGAAGCCGTGGGCCTGATACATGATGAAGCATTCCTTGTTAGGGTTTTCCGAGGAGCGGATAAAAGTCTTGGTAAGGAGTCCGAGGAGAGAACGGTGGCAGAGGACAAGAGAGACGCCATGGATTACTGAGAATTGCGAGGAATGGATGGTCGAGTGTAAGTACTGCCACGAAGCTTACCGCTCCAAGATTTCGTAGCTCTGCTTCACCTTTTTTTTTTTCCCGCCCTGCTTTCCTTGAGATAAGATTGAACTGATATAAATACTGTTCGTTATTGAACGGTAGTTTTACCTAGCTCTGCTTCCGTGGGTGGTGAAGAGCTGGCCGGACAAATGCAGGTCTTGGTTTGAATTCTTTGGTAGGTGAAAGTATTAAGTGTTGTTCCATATAAATAAATTGATGTGGGTTGTATGTTAGATCGATCAGGATTTTTACTGCCTGAAGGAAAGTGCTTCCTCGTAAAAAAAAAAAAATATTTATTTATTTAATTGCATAATATTGAAATTTATTTATTTATAAATTAGCATCATATCATTTTTACAATTACAAAAATTATGTATATTGGAGATTATTTTATTTAAAATTTGATTAAAATTGAAAAAAAATATACATATGCCACTCAAATTTTATATATTTATATATCTAATATTTAAATTTTAATATTTATTTATATAACATCAAAATTTTAAATTACATAAAAATATTATTGATATATTACCAAAAAAATATTTTGATCATACACAAATCTCAATGTAAATATGAATTAAAAATTTTCAAAATTAAATCTGAATCCACCCGAACTCCAATTTCAAGAAATTTATAATCAAACTGAAAATCTCAAAGGATGAACCCAACGTCATCAAAATCAGTTCAATCTAAACTCAAATGGGTCCAAATTGAGGGCCAAAAGTCTATTTTAAAGCAATAAATTATTAATTGGATAACCAAACTATATCCAAATGTGATATGCTTATAGTCAAATTGAGTGGCTCGACGAGACAAATCCAACGAGTCCAAGATCGTAAAATTCTGACATCAATAAGATACTTAAATTCTCGATAAATTGTCCATGATCAAGGGAGTTAATATTGGTCGTCCATTTGAAACATTTCCAACATGCCCTTGATTTTTTCCATATTCACTGGTCATTGTTTAGAAAACTATAAATACATCCCTCATTCTTCACTGAAAGGAAGGAGGAACCAAGAAAAAAAAGAGAAGAGAGGAAGAGAAATATGAGGACTCTTTTGCCACCAAACTCTGCCTCGACCACTTCGCGGCCATTGATTGTCCCCAGACTTTCGCTTGACCGTTGACCTTCATCGAACTTCCGTCCGACCACTGATCGTCGCCTAACTATAGTCATTCTGACCATCATTACTTGATTAAGGTACACTTCGACCATCGTCATCAATCGACTATGCTCCACTCTGACCACCATCGCCCGCCGACTATGGTCCACTCCTACCATCATTGTATGCTGACCACGGTCCACTCTGACCACCGACTACGATCCACTTTGACCACCGTCGCCCTCTGATTACAATCTTTTCGACCATTGTCTTCCACCAACTACGATTAACTCTTATCATTATCGCTTGCCAACTATGATCCATTATGAATACTTCTGCTCGCCGACTACAGTCTTCCCGGCCACTGTCGCCAGCTAACTACGATCCCTCCTACCATTGTTGCCCGCAGACTACGGTCCACTCCTACCACCATAGCCCGTCGACTACGGTCTATTCCTACCACCATCGCCAATCGACAACAGTCCACTCAGTCTACCTTCACATGCTGATTACGGTCCACTCCGACTACCGTCTCCCGTCGACTATAATCCACTTTGACCATCGTTGCCCTCCGATTATGATTTTTTTGACCACCATTGCATGCCAATTGCGGTCTACTTTAACCACAATCACTCACCGACTACTGTCCCCTCTAACCACAATTATGATTTTTTTAACTACTATCGACCTTCAACTATGATCTTTTTGACCACCATCACTTGCCAACTATGGTCCGCTCCCACCACTGTAGCACACGAACCATTGTCCACTTCGACCACGATCACCCACCAACTACGGTCAACTCATACCACCGTTATGGGGTGGAACCCCTTTTAAGCTAAGGAGGCAACTAAAACCCGCTCCCGCTTCATGAGCGGAACCCCTTTGAGCCCAAGGGGGCAATTCCCCCCTCAAAAATTTTTTTTTCATTATACTATTATTTAGGTAATTTGTTCCCCTTCAATTTATTTTTTAATCTTTATTATAAGAGTTTTTAAGCAATTACCCCCAATATAATTTAATACATTATGTAGATGTGTTATTATTAGGGAATGATGAACCAAATACAAAGAGAAATAGTAAATCAAAATTTATCTAGGGTGTTGCCCCCGGAAACCCCTGTAGGGGCGCCCCCACGACCTGACCAGGTAGGTCAAACCCTGTTAGGGGGCGCTGCCCCCTTGGACTCCCGACATATATACCAACAGTTACTTATAAGTTTTCCCCCTAAAAATTATAGCTCGTTCCACCCCTGCCACCGTTGTTTTTTAATTACGGTCCATTTTAACAACCGTCGCTCGCCGACTACTGTCCTTCCGATTACCTTTGCCTCCTGACTCCAATCGCTCATACCATCATCGCATGCCTATTATGATCCACTCCGACCACTGTCGCCTGCCAACTATATTCTTTACAACCTCGGTCACCCAAATACAGTCATACTGACCAAACAAACATGTTAACACCCTTTTAAGAATAATTTCCATATAAATAGCTCTATATAATGTGCATTTACTATATAAAACCTTCTCCTGAAGGAAATACCTCATTTGTACTCAATCATCATACTAGTGAATTTGCTTAAACTAGAACAGACCCCATGGTTTTTCCACTGTTTAGGATTTTTCAAGTAAAACTCTTGTTATCTCTTATGAACGCTACATCCTTATCTGTTTATATGTTATATCTTCGTGCAAAGATATACTAAACTATATCTCTCTACTGCCACAAATTTTCTAGGATGCAATAGTTATTAATATTAACCTTTTAAATATGAAAAACATATTCTTATGCCTTTATTTTAATGTGGTTGAGCCATTAGAATATTATATAAATAAATATTATTTGTAGGTGCTAGATAAATAAATTAATTAATAAAGAACTTCACTTATATTAGTGTTGGACTTAGTTTAAAGTTTCAATATCAGATGAAAATTAGAAAATTAGAGATACGAGATTATTAATTTAAAAAATAGACAACATTTAGACATTATGTTTAAATTGGCCAACCTTTAGACATTCTTCCAAGATATGATCGAGGAACGTAATTAATTATATTGTGGCAAAATTTTATAAATCTACTGATGATCTTCAAAACAGATTCTTTGAAAAGGGTTTGAAGAAAGAACTCACGCTTAGCCATGAAACCCTGCCTGCCCAATACCTTATCATACACTCATGTTTACCTTGAAGATGATGGCATATTCATTCATCATTCTTTTGAAATATTCCTGAACAAATTGGCAGAGTTTTGTCTTTCTTCCTTCATCTGATCAACCAATAAAGAAAGCATTTCATAGATCTCTTCAGTCTGTGAATGAGACCCATCCCCAGGCACAAACACTTTCTTTCCTCCTTTCACTTCAATCCAACTACAACCTGCCTCCTTCCTTAATCCCTTCCCCTTCATAACCAACCTAACCTTCCTCGCTTCACTCCACTTTCCAGCAGCTGCATACATATTACACAGTGCTACATATCTCGCTCCATTCTCTGGATCTAATACAAAAAGCGACTCAGCAGCTCTCCTCCCAAGTTCTATGTTTCCATGAATCTGACAAGCGCCAAGCAGTGCGCCCCACATCCCAACATTGCTTGACAACCCAGTCGAGTGCAAACTCTCTATCACCTTCATTGCCTCCTCGAGCTGATTCATTCTCCCAAGGCCATCGATGAGAATCGAGTAGTGTTCAATCCCAGGGCAGACTTCAAATTCTTTTTCCATCAATCTCAATATTTGATTACCCTCTGATACTAGACCAGCATGACTGCAAGCCAAAAGCAAACCAAGAAATGTCACATGGCTTGGGGTTATTCCAGCCTGCACCATTCTCTCAAACACATCAAGTGACTCCTTTGCAAGTCCATTCTGGGCAAACCCTGTAACCATTGTGTTCCAAGAGACAACATCACGACCAGGCATATTATCAAAAAGCACTAAAGCTGACTCCATGTCACCACATTTCGCATACATGTCAATTAGCGAGTTGTGAGTCTTCATGTTGAAGCAATCAAAACCTATAAACCTTCGAAGCATATAGCAATGAACTTGCTTCCCTCGATCAATAAGTCCTAACCGTGCACAAGCACTCAGGAATGATACCAAAGTGAATGGAGTAGGACAAATACCTTCTTCAAGCATTTGCTCAAATAGATCAACTGCAGCATCTTCCTGCCCGTTTTGCTCAAACCCGGAAATAAGAGCTGTCCATGAAACAGCATTGCGTGATGGTGCACTTATAAAAACTCGGTAAGCATCATCAAGTCTGTTGGCATTGGTGTAGGCTCCGATCAACGAGGTCCAGGAAACAATGTCCTTCACCTCCATCTGATCAAAAACCTGCCGAGCAGCAATGGCATCACCACACTTCCCATACCCGTCAATGAGTACATTTGACATAATACAATTTAATTGCATCCCATGAGAAATAATAGCACAATGTAACTGGCGAAGAGATTGCAGATCAGACAAACCAGCGCAAGCTGGAGCAATGCCAACAACAGTGAATTTATCCATGCCAAGACCTTTCCTTTGCATTTCAGAAAAGAGTTTGAGAGCCTCCTGGTGCAAGCCGTGATGACTAAGTTTCGATATCATGGTGTTGTAACTAACAAGATTTCGTTCAGGCATGTCATCGAACAGGTGACGAGCAGAATGGAGAAACCTGGAGTCTCGCGAGTATGCTGCGAGGAGCGTGTTCCATGATTGGTGGTTTTTGAAGGGAAGGTCGTCGAAAGAGGAGATAGTGCAAGGGAGAGAGCCACACTTTGCGTACATGTCAATGAGGCGGTTCGAGAGGAGAGTGTGAAGATTGAGCGCTGTCTTGAGGAGGCGAGAGTGGAGAAGACGGCCGAGCTTGAGATCTTTGCTGGAGATGCAGATCTCGATTTGTGAGAGGTAACATTCGATGATATCTGCGGCGGTGGCAGTCATCGGAACGGCGGCGGGGTTGCTTGACGGAGAAGCTACGCATTGCTCGGTTCCGGCTGGTTATCTGAGGCATAATAGACGATGAGGGTCATGAGGCCACTAGATCGGGTTTATTAATTGAGGAACTTAAGCACACCATTAACACCCAAGCTTTTATTTATTTAATAAAAACTAGAATTATTATTTTTTATAATGTGATTTAAAGATTTGAGTTTTACATAAATAACTATAACAATTTAGATATTTAATATATATAATTAAAAATTAAAAATTTGTAGTATGTATTTAAACTCCCCCTCATTAATTTTCTAGATACATCAAATGAATACCAACCATCATTGTTGTCAATAAGATTACTCGGACTACATTATTGGAAGCATTTTGGCACTATTATTTAGCTATATTTGTTATTATTTCCTAGGAATGTTAATGATAAGAAAAATATTTTTTACATTAAATCTACAAAAATACATAAGTTATAAGAAATTTATTATTTGACTTTTTGAAAATGCAAAAAAATTATAATAGTCATTAAAAAGACTATTTTTTTCATACAACTATACTGACTACTTTTACAAAGAGTTTTAAGTTTCGTTTGAGATAGCTTCTTTATTGCTTCTTAAAGCAGCTTTATAGTTCAAAAATTTTAATTATTATACTAAAGAGTTGCTTTAAAAATCAGTCAGAAAGTCATCCCAAATGAAGCCTTAGTTGCTAAAAAATTGAACTTTTAAAATATGGTATCAATTATTTTGATGAAGCCAAGTAATCACTAGTGATTTGATGCATCAATTGAGATGATTTATTAACCTCATAAGCAATGTTAAGAGCATAAGAACAAAATATTACATGTGATTATATTGCTCACAATTAGAGGTGTAAATGAGCCGAACCGGCTCGTGCGCCATCAATTGAATTCAACATAACTATATATCCCAATAAAGCATATTTATCTGTCACATAATTAATTTGTTGACCAAATCATTCTTTCCATTATACAAAGATATTCCTTCTTCTACAAGTAGGTCTCCAGTCAACCACATTTTTACGTGCACCTCATTAGTTTAACCAACCAAGGAAGCTAGGAAAGACAAAATTTTTCAAGTGAATTATTGAAGACTTGCACCCCAACAAAAAGACATCCCTTTCATCTCTAAAAGATTTTGGCCGTTTGTTCCTCCTCATAATTTGTGCTCCCCATGAAGTCCCATCAAACTCTGTGTGAGCACACTTTGTCTTTGGTTGAATGCAAAGGCAGCAGAAAGTTGGCCATTACGTTACTCCTTGTACTTCCCTTGTCTTATTTGCCTAAACAAAAATTTTAAAACAGACCAATTTTTTCTCCTTCTTTGTCTCTCCATTGTTCTTCCTCTTCAGAATTATTGCTGGAAATCTGATTCATTCAAATCGATTTGAAATAGATTATGGCCAAGTCTATATTGGCATGCTTTCTCTTTCCATCTTGTTATAGCCAAATTAGTTCAAATCAAATCTCATCGAAAGATCTCGATGACTTCTACAATTCTTATTGCGAAGATCTCAACAAAATCAGCAAGTATTTTGCTCGTGGCTCTCTCTCTCTCAATTGGTCAGTGAAAGCAATGAAAATCCTCAAGAAGATGCAAGTAGAGCTACTTATTCTGATTAAGAAGTCCAACTTAAGTATCTCCATTGGAACTGAAGATGGTAATTGGTTCAATCAGTACATGAAAGATAGCATGACAATGTTAGATTTATGCAACTCACTCAAATTTGCTGTTTCGAGGATCGATCGATACCGTATGATGGTTGATATCATGATGAATGAATTTAATAAAAATGATTCATCAAAACTTATGGAATTTAAGAGCCAGGAAGATTTAATTCTCCACACTGTGAAAGAAACAACTGGACAAGGTGTAGAGGAGAGTATCAGTTCTGCCATGATTGCTCTGCTCCATTCAGCATTCGTTTCTCAAGTTTCAATCAAATTAGGCGGTTGTGATTTAACCTGTAAATATCCTAAATTGAAGCCATCCATCAAGATGCTTTCAATGTTGGTTCGAGAGTTTAATGAAAGGGATTCAACAATGGAAAATAGATCAGGTTCGGAGCTCATCGAGCAGGAGATTGTGGCAAAGGTGATTGTGGATATTCAGACGCAAGTGGTGGATGGAATTGAGGATAAAGAGAAGTTGTTAAGCAGTTTGGAGTTGTTGAGGACAAGTTCAGTTGAGCTCAAGGAAGGGATAGAGAATCTTGATGTTGCTGTGGGTGATGTGTTTGATGTCTTAATTAGAGGGAGAAATGAAATGTTGCGAGTTTTAAGAGACAGATACTTGTCTATTGGATGAAATTCTAAGTTCATTTAGCACGAGTGTTTGCAATTATTTGATCACTAAATATGTTTTTCGTGCCTTTCTTCTTTTGTAAAAAGCCACTGAAAGATTAATTTGTTATATATATATATGAATGTGATGTATATGTTTTATAAATTAATATTGGATTGAATCATTTAGATTTTTTTTTCTTAATAAATATTTCAACAATGAAAAACTTAGAATTAGGTGATCATCCATCCTAATTGATAAACGTTCATGTCAAATGTTTGTGATCGATTGATGGTTGGCTGAAGACTTGGCCGTTGCCTTGACAGAAGAGGCCGCAGGACGACAAGCATCTTCCCTTCTCCTTTAGTTTCTTCCCGGCCAAGCAACACTGAATCCAGAGAGGGAGAGAGAATGTGAGAAAATTTATATTAAAATATATTTGAAAATATTTTTAGTGTCCTAGCACTGCAGTGCTCAGACCCAGTGCCGCAACACTGTATGTATAAATTAGATTTAATGTAGAATAAAAATACCAGTGCGGCAACGGTAGTTTCTGGCACTACAATGCTCTCAAATATAACGTCGCAGCGCTTACATGTACAGTGCCAAAGCGCTCTAGTGAAATCAAAATTTCAAAAATTCATATTTTTCATTAAAAATATAGCATTGGGTTGTTACAATTTTCTCACATTTAAAAAATATCACGCTCTTGCTACCTTGTCCAAGGAGATCTTACAAGGTAGCAAGAGAAGATGGAGACGGTCAGGTTACACTTTTATTTTATATGTTGACGGGGGCAAATAGTGGGCAACTTTATGGAGGAGATCAAATACTGTATCGACCGTAACAATCTAGCGGCACACTCTTGGTGCATGCAAATTTGGTGGAGTCATGATGATTTGTAATAAGTTTTATGTTCTTAATGACATGATGATCTTTTCCCACAAAAAGGTTCAACTAGATATGTACTCTTCCAATATGATTATAGTGTAAGAGTTGACATTAATGAAAATAATATAGCCTTCCTCACTTTAAGATTTCTGTATTAGATGATGATGATTGTATGTTTTAATATGATGTAGAGCTATATTATATGTACATCCTGTAATATTATGTATGAATTTGAGACATTTATATGAGCATGATGCTTATTTTTAATTTGAAGTAATGACTACTCTATCTTTATGTAAGAATACTTTCAATTTGCGAGTTTTCCCCCAGAGAAAACTAAGTTCTTTATGCATTTTTTTAGATATGGTTTGATATATTGTCCCCCCTAGTTAGAACAACTAGCTTTAAAAAAAATTATCCCTTATGCAGCTTTTAGCCTTCTGAGACTTTTCAGATAATCAAATAAATATATATATTTTTAAGGCTTTTAACCTTCTAAGATTTTGATGTATCTGTGTCTTTTGAGGTTTTTATCTTCTTAAGGTCTTTGGTGTACCAATGCTTTTTGATATGTATACCTTCATAGATTTTCTAATAATCCTATACCTTGTGAGGCTTTTGCCTTTTGAAGTTTTAGGTATTTAGCCTTATAATATTTTATGTGCATGTATTCCTTCTAATGCCTTTACCTTTAAAGGTTTTTGAATGATCCTACATCTTCGAAAGCTTTTACCTTATAAGGTCTTTGAATGCTCATCCAATTAATGATAGCACTTCTTGGGAAGAGAAGAAGAGAGAAGAGAACTTGAATGTATATTATTATCTGAATCAAATAGCTATTACAGGTACATATATATAAGACAGTGAGAAGGCATAAAAAATAAATACAAAAGTATTCTGAGCCCTTATACGTAAGCCGTTTTCTTACAGCCCACCGCAAATTAATCATTCGGAGTTCGAATGGTTAATTTGGAACGAAGATAGTTAAAACGAGTATAAGAAAACGGTTTGGTTAAAATATCAGCTATTTGATCTTGTGAGGAGATATGCTGAATTTGGATAGCTCCGGCGGTGATATGTTGACGAATGAAATGATAGTCTATTTCGATGTGCTTCGTCCAGGCGTGAAATACAGGATTTTTGGCGATGGCGATAGCGGAGAGGTTGTCACAGTGTATGGCAGTTGGTTTTGATTGATCAAGCTGAAGTTCGGAGACGAGTCGGCGTAGCCATAGAACCTCCGATGTGGCTGCAGAAAATGTCCTATATTCTGCTTCGGTTGAAGACTTGGCCACTGTAGCTTATTTCTTTACGGACCAATATATGAGGTTTGGTCCTAGAAAGGTGCAAAAACCGAAAACCGATTTCCGGTCAGAGTTGTCAGATGCCCAGTCGGCGTCCGTGTTAGTGCGAAGTAGCTGGTCTCCGGCAGTGATCGGTAGTCCGAAATGTATGGTGCCTTTGATGTAGCGGAGGATGCGTTTGATACACTGGAAGTCGTGGACTGTAGGTTTCTGCATATATTGGCACGCTCGGTTGGTTGCAAAGGCAATGTCAGGCCTCGTGATCGACAGATACTGCAGTGAACCTGTTAATCGACGGTAGAAGGGCGGGTCATGGAAGGCCTGGGCGTTGTCAGGACGTGAAGAGGAAGCTGGAACGATCGGTGTAGAGCAAGCTTTGCAGTTTTCGAAACCGGCTTCTTGAATTAGCTTGTTTGCATAGTGTTCTTGTGTTAAAAAGTATCCAGTGTCAGTTTTAATGACCTGGATACCTAGGAAGAGTGAAATTGTACCAAGCTGTTTGAGAGAGAATGCCGCATTCAATTCTTTGAGAAGTGTTTGGATGAGGGAGGCGTCGTTACCTGTAATGAGAATATCGTCAACGTAGATCAAAACGTAGAT